TTACACTGCTTACAGGAGCAAATGTGAGTAACTTGGGATTCCTCCCTGCCATCCTTGGAGGGAAAGAAGTCACAATTTTTTTCATAGCACCAACTCCCCCACTGGCTTATCCTATCTGTAAATAAAAGAAACATTTGTAATATCCATTAATGTAGTGAATGATCTTTTTTGAGCTTCTTTCTTTTCAGTCCCACTCTTAATCTGTAATGCCGAAGCCCCAGCTAAGCCAGGAAAACTGTATGCTCAGCTATGTTTCAAACCTGACTAGGCAATGGATTCATATGAATGTGAACCTGATAGAAACATTTGCTGCTCTCTACCCCTCTTCACAGTCCCACCGTGAAAAAACAGGTCAGCTCTTACATTTGCTTCACCTCCTGATCCCACAAACAGCAGCAGTACATTGAAGCAGGGTGCAAGCACCAGACAGAAATGAGTACCAAAGGTCTGGATGCACAAATACACCCTTCTGTGTTTAGTAAGCCATATGAAAAATCATTCTTTGAGTATATCAATTAAATAATCAACAGCAAATCAACATGTGCCAAAGGAGAAAGGAACATCATATACACAAATTATATATATACACCTTTCAAATACAAATATACTTTACCTGTCAAAGGCTGAGACTGTACTTATAGAAAGCAAAAAATAGAACAAACTTTGAGCTGGGTATGCTATTGTCTTATACTGCTCAAGCAGGTTAGAAACCATGGAAAGCTCATTTCCTGCCAAAATGTAGATAACCACGATGTTCCATACAGCATAACCAGCAAGGAAGCCATGGGTGAAGAGGCCCAAGACCCTGAATGGAGGAAAGAACGTTAGACCAGTTTTAACATCTTGAATTAGCTATAGATAGAAAAGGCCTATGAATGCATCTGTTCAACCTGTTTCAAGAGATTGTTTCTGAGTGCTTTTTCTGTTCTAGTTAAAAAAATTCTAAGCAAGAGTTTTGTTTCCTCCTGTCACACAAGATGCACCATAACCTGAGCACTTAAAAGAAAACAGATGTTTTACCTTCCATTCATTACAGCCACAGGCATCAAATACTTTCACTTGTAGCTGCCTGTAGTTTCCCAAGACCACTGCCCCTTACACTTACACAACATTCTAACTTGTCCCCAAGGCAATCTTTTCAATATCCTCATTGCTAAGGAAAAGCTTGAGCACAGGCTTCCAGGTAAAACAGACCACAGAAGATGGCTGTTACCTTCCCATTCTCTATTACAAAACAACTGCATATTAAAAAGTAATGGTTTTACTATTTATGTGCAAGCTTATTCCCCCAGTGTAATTTCACTCCTCCCGCTTTCCCACCAACCACGATTTTTCTTTCAGAACTGTCTGAATTCAGGTATTTTTATTCTGGTAATACACATGATGGGTCAGTCCTACTTTCTAACACACTTCTGTAGGTGACTAATGTTTTGGTTATCAGCTCAATCTCTTGCTATTGAGATTCTGTCTGAATCTTTGCAATATTAATTTCTTAGTTATTCTTTATACATCACTGTATTTCACACGTGATGTCTACACTAGAAATTTATAATTTTGACAACAAATACAAAACGCTAGAGGAATGATAAACTTCATAGCTGTTGAATCCAGAACGACCAAAAGAAATAAAAATACACCACAACTATAGAGGAAAGAAACTAATTTCAGGGAGAAAAAAACCCCAAAAACTCAAACCAAACCCCCGATTTATGTTTATTTATATCAGAACATTTATCTTTCACCTGAAACTTCGGTGCACTGAGAGGGCAACATCTCTAGTAGTCCACGAAGCCTTCACATCCAAAAGTACATTGATATTTTCAGTGGTTTTAATTAATTCTGCACGGTCAGCTGCATGAAAACGCCCTGAAAGGATAAGGAGATCAGTTTTAGAGAGCTCTGTTTCCTTTCACCATCATTTCTACATTAATGCCTAATTAGTGTTAAAAAGCTGTAAGCATCAGAAATTTCTTCTCCCCCCTTCCTGCCCTTTGTCAGCTTACATTGATACAGGATGCCTCTGGTCAGAATGATGCATCCTGGTGGGTCAGGTTATGGAGTTAACAATGTGCAAAGCACTTTGGGAAATTACTCAGTGTTCCCTGGGACAAAAAAAAAACCCAAACAAAACAACAGAAAACACAAACGCCCTGCAAAAAACTTGCACTGAAAGACTTTTTGTAAGTAATAGTTTCTTCTTAATGTACTGTGACAATATTAAGTCAAAAAAGCTCAGCTAGGTACTTTGAAACCTTTTTCACCTCCACCATGGAATTAAAAAATCAAACCAAATATACCAGTACAGCAACACCACCATTCACTGTTGAAAAATCATCATGCATGTTTATTTCCAAATAATTTTTGTTTTGGAAAACTTTAAAAAAATTCTTCCCAATACTACAGTATTTAGCTTTTAGATACAATAATGCTTCCTCTAATTGCAAGAATGTTCTTAAATTACTTAAATCACAATATGAACTCACGATTTTTTTCAACAAACACTTTGCTAACAGGCTGACTAATTCCAGTGGGAGCAGCAAACACAGGCTGCTGATCTGGGCTCTTTCTGTGCTCATCTTCAATGATGTCTTCCTCCTCCACTTCCAGCTCATTGGAGCTCACTTCAGCTGGCCGAGGTTTCCTATTGGCACAGAACACACAGTGGGACAGAGAAAGGAGGTACTGTGTAAAATCCAAAGCCTCCTATGAACATTTAACATGCCTAACCTGACTGGTAAGAACCCATCAGACTATGACCTGTATATTATTACCCTGTTTATAATTTTAAGGACTAAAGTTCCCATGCAGGTAGTTGACTAAAACCATAAGACTAATTCCATATCAAGAGATTAACAGTTAGAACATACCAGAATAATTGGGGAAAAAAGCTAACTTTCATATAATTAAAATAGTAAGAATGATAGAAAGCAGTTGAAAATTCTAATTTTTTCATGTCTGTGGCAGAACTATTAGGCTAATGAACATGGTTTTAGAGCTGTGATGCATCCAGGAATGCACAGAATGACGAAGTGAAAAAAGTTAGATCTTAACCCTGGAAAGAAGTGTACACAGGCTGAACGGTATTGTAGGCTTCAAGATTTTACTTTTTTGCCAAATGACAATGCCAAATACTCTTCAACCACATTCACTGTTACAGTTAATCTAGATTATGAGCTATACTAGTTTTGTCTCACTTTGCTCTTCTTCTCTGTTTGCGGATCACCGTTTCTTCAGCTTCAGGGACATCCATGCCATTTCCATTCTGAAATAGGGATGCCACATTCTGCTGGGTAAAGGAGGTCTCAGAATCTGAAGATTAAAAAAAAACAACCCAACATGAAAGTTTCAGAGCTTTCATAAAAATGGAAATACATTCACCTAAATACATAAATAGTTATTATATAAAAAGAGTAGCAAAAAAAGTAATGATCTGAGCTTTGAATGATGCAAAGTATAACATAATTTCCAAAACTGTATATCCATTATATTCATGGAGGTTTGTACTCAATGTAATCTGAAACCAGAAAGTGAAACTCTAAGCTACCACTCACACAGAGATTACTTTCAGCTATTTTAGGTAAAGAAGCATATGAAATGTTTTAAAACTAAATAGACATTGTCCAATAACATTTCTGTGTTCCCAAGTTTTATTCACTTCTCTTTCCCATCTACTGCTATCTCACATACCAGCAGGTACTTTCTTCTTCTTGCGTTTCCTCTGAGGAGGGGCATCAGGAGGTTCAGGGGTCAGGGGCTCGCTGCTTTCAGACTGCCGACGAACCGCTGCTTGCACAATTCCATCTAAAAACCACAGGAAAAGACCCAGCAGCCTGAATTCAGAGCCACTGAGAAACAGGCAAAAGAAAGCTGCCATTTACCACATTGTTGCCCAGCTGAGCAACAACTGAGATGAAAATGCATTGGCTATAGGAAATGTGAGAGTTGAGAATCAATGATGAGAAGTGGAAATATCCAAAGGTATTTCACAGTAACAGTATCATACTCTGAGGGAATTTAAGTATCCAAAAAGTAGCACATTCCCATTTGGGCATACAGCAGAGGGCTACCTGAAAAGAATCCATCACTGGAAAGAACTACACCTCTATATTTCTCTTTTCTATGTGCAAAAATTATAATGCAATAGCCAAGGAAAAAAAAAATTATTGCATGGTGATCCACACAGATATGGGCTAAGGCAAAATGGCATCACATCAAAGGAAAATTTAAATACTAAACATACAGTACAAGAATAAAAAAGGAGCAGAAAAAAATCCACTGAAGGATATTTACTCCAGTCTGAGCAATTAATTATTATACTTTGGAGGAATTTTATTTCTGTGAAAGGTTAAAATGAATTTATATTATAGTGCAGTAGCATTAACTTGCATGATCAGATGCAGAAAGATAAAATTACTTCTCCATTTTACATTGTACCTGCTTTTTAATAGTGCCTTCAAGGACCGCAATTTTTATGGTAACAACTGAATCTTCGTTTCCACTTCAAAGTCAAGTTTACCCATCTTTTATAAACATTTATTATGCAAAAGTAACCAACAAATAATTATCTTTTACAGTCAACTCTTCAGTGATAATGGAGTAATTAACTTATGACTTTATTTGGCCAAGGACTGAAATTGAACCAGACTGCTAAATGAATTTTATCTTAGTTCATTCAAAAATTTGAGTGCTTAACACATTCAACATAAGCAGCTTACAGCTGGAAATATCTATTTAATGAATTATGCAAAGAAGTTAGAAAGGAAAAAATAGAAGGAATAAAAGAACAGTTTTTAGTCTTGGCAGGACCGTACCTAATGGAGTCTTTCCTTTGGGTTTCCTTTTTTTGGGACGACTGAGTGGAATTTCATCTGCATAACATAAAACAGAAGTATGGGTGAACAGCAAGGAGAAATCTCAATTTCCTTTTTTTAACAGCCATCCTATTGCAAGTTAAGAAATACATTCTTTTTTACAGATTATGACATCCTTTGTTTTTACAGGTAGGATGACAATTCACCAGTTCACACAAGGAAGAGGAGAGTACAGAAGATGGTAGGAAAACACAGTAAGAAATTAGGGTAAGAAGTCTTATGTGCAGCAAAGGCTCACTACATACATGCATGTGTGTTAAGCGATAAACTGAAATACTCTGAATAATGCTCTGAAAAATAAACTTCCTGTTTAAAGCACAGTGGCAACATTTCAGTTACCTTGATGGAAATAGCTAACAGTAAAGAGAGCAGAGAAAAACAACAGTTCTAACAATGCACGGGTATCCAGTTTAAATAATCAGCCTGCATTTAGGAAAAGTATAAGGCTCCATCTTTAAAGAGAGAATGATTGGCACCAAAAGGAACTACCAAGGTTTGTAGTTCTCTTTAATAACTCACCTTGGCTTCCACTTCATATTGAAAAGAAGGAAAGTTGTTGACAAGCAGTGTAAAAAGATGAAAAGAAAGTTAGTTTTGAATCAATTACAATTCACAACCATGAAATTCACTCTGCTGCTTTCATGCTTAATTTCCTTATCCCCCCTCCTCTTAATGAGCAGCTGTGTATAACAGGGTAAAGGGTATGAAGCAATCAGCAAGATTCAACACTTTGTTGGTGACTATGCACAGTTTCTTGATTGGCTAGCTGTGGATCAGATTAAACGCTTTAATCACCTGGCTAATTAAAACTTGTCTTACTGCCTGGTATATAACAAACTAACAGAAGTTATGAAACATTTGAGCCTATACGTCACTAAAAAGACACTATCTGCCGACAATCATAAACATCACATTTACTTGGAGGTACTTTGAAGGAAGTCTGAAGTACCATCTCATAAAAACTATACAATTGCTTTTCATTTCACACTGAAAAAACCCCAATTTTTCCCTTATACTACATCAAACTAATAGATACCTAACTTCCTATTAAAGAGTATCTAGTCTAATTCCTGAAATTCCTGGTTTAAAGTATTTGTGATTCAAATAAACTAAAGAACACACAATAAAAGAAAGAGAGAGGAAGAAGAGATTAAACTGAACAACAGTTAAGCTATACTAGACATTAAAACTGGAATATTTGCCCAAAAGTTTTTAAAGGATTTATCTCTCATCAGTATTAAAACTGATGTAATATGGTAAAATTTCTTGGCTTCTATAAAACTTTAAAATGCTTTGCATTCCTTGTAAAGCATTTTGGGACAAAATTTAGCAAGAGAAGCATTTTTAGTGCTCAGAGATGTTTATGAAACTTATTTATTTTAATGTTACTACTTTCAAAATCTGCAGTACAGTATCATGATCAGTTCCACAGAATGCAATGATTTTACCTTGGCACTGGAGGAAGGGCACGAGGCGGGCACTGAAAGACAAGAGACAAAAATCAGCTTCTGCCAGCATGAACCCACCTCTCAGGAAACAGCTTCAGATCAGAACATCCAAGGTATGTTTTTCTCTGTATGCCTCCTGAATGGCCAAACATTCCTAATGGAGATGTTACATAAAAGGAGGATGTAAAACATGCTGGACTAATATGCCTTTATCAGAGTTCTGATGGGCACTGCAGTAGGAACATACAGCTAACCTCTGTGTGAGACACAGCTTACATTTCAGCTTCAATAATTTCCACTTTTCATGTAAGGTATCACCTTCACTACAAAGCTTATTAGTTATTCTATTTAAATTAATATAAAATATTGTAATAAATTATGCATTCAGTAATTGTACAGTATACAACCTGAGATGAGTATTTTCTATTAATGAGGTAAATTCAGAACAATAATAAAAACAATAAAAGGAAATAAGCTCACTTATGAAAATGCTTTTAAATATTACAAAATACCATTTTTCCATATAATTTTGAACAAATTTACCAGCAGGTCAAACACCTAAAATCTAAAAGGATCTCCAGATAATAATTGGAAACTGAGCTTGTACCTTTCTCTTCTCTAGAAAAAGGAGTTAACTTTCAGATTTTGTATTGCACAATTATATTGAAAGAACATACACAAAAAAGTATTTCCCATGCCCAGAAAATTAAAATACCAGAACTAAAAAGGGTTGTAAGACTGGTAAGACTCAAGGAGCCATAAACTTACCACTTGTTTCTTTCCCATATCATTTGAAGTCGTTCCCTGAAAGAGGCACTGTGAACTGGTCTAGGCTCCCTCACGCTGCTCAGCTCCCTCACATTGAACCTCAGCTAATTCTGAACTAAAAATAAACTTCAAGCAGCCAGGATTAGCTGGACCTGAACCCTCCTACCCCTGGGTCGGGACCCAGAACTACTCCCATTTGAAACAAGGGCAGGTTGTTCAATGACAGCAAATATTATTTGCACTAAAAAACTCTTCACTCTGCATGCTGGCACAGGTTCCTATAAGCAAGTTTTACATTGGTTTGTTTACCCAAAGCAAATGAGATACCTCATGCAAGGAAGGGTTTGTGGGATTAGACTTCAAATCTCTCACTTGGATTTTGGCCATGCTGAAGATTGACAGCAAGTGCCACTTGCTACACAGGTAGAGAACTGCACACCCTAAGGGGCTTCCAGCAAACTGGTGGGGACTGGTCACGCTATACTGGTGCACCATAAGGGAAAAAAATATTGGTAAAGGTCAGATCTCATTACTTTTATTATTTCCAACATCCTTGTGGCAGTAAATGTTTAGGATACTTAGTATTTAAAAAAACTAAAAGCTAAAAAACTCCATAAAAACAAACAAGACACAGCATTCGCTGCCTATGCAGTAGTAATTCTATACTCGGTAGTACCTTTTTATTCTATTACCTTCTACAGAACTGGCAAGTGCATTGATTTCTGTATAATTTATTCCTTGCAACACAGGAAAGCACATGCAAGCAGCCAGTCGTAAATACTCATCTGTCCATCTGTGTGACAGTTCCTAGCTTTGCCATAGAGCTATCAGCTTTTGTCTAATTGTAAATTCACAGAGTCTGAAGTAACTTACCCCAAATTTCATAGAAAGGGTGAGTTTGGGGACAGGTCCCCATGGACATTTTGTTATGGAAAGAAGAACTGCTGCGTGCTCTAAAGTACCTCCGAAATAATGCCCCCGAAACCAAGAGACTCCCAGTAACCAGGCAGCCGCTGCCTCGGTCAAACCCTGTGTTTGCACACCTGAGCCAGGCCACAAGACAGTGGGACGCACCTGGCCACTCGGGGAAAATGAACTATCCAAATCCCCGGATGTCCATTCCAGGATGCTGAGAAGGAAAGGTTTAAATGTCCAGAATGTTTAAAAATACTGAAGTGGATTTGTTAAAGCCTTGCAGATTTTCTTTTGAGAGGTTTATATAAAAAAATACATGAAGGAAATGTTTGCTTGCTTCCGCTACAAAGATCTTCAGAAATGTGCGACCACGCAGCCGGTTACATTCCCCCCTTCCCGCGGGATGCAGCAGGGCGGGCACCGCCGCTTCCGCAGCGGAGAGGAGACGCAGGAGCCGCGCTACCGGGGCGCTCTGCTACCGGGGCGCTCTGCTACCGGGGCGCTCTGCTACCGGGGCGCTCTGCTACCGGGGCGCTCTGCTACCGGGGCGCTCTGCTACCGGGGCGCTCTGCTACCGGGGCGCTCTGCTACCGGGGCGCTCTGCTACCGGGGCGCTCTGCTACCGGGGCGCTCTGCTACCGGGGCGCTCTGCTACCGGGGCGCTCTGCAGCTCCGCCTCCCCGGAGCAGCTGCTGCTGGGGAGCGGCCCGCCACATCCCTTCAGCAACAGCACTCAGGTGGGCCAAACTCCCGCCGCCAGGCTCCCCGCGCTGCAGCCCCACGGAGCCGTTCGCGCCCCCCTCCCGCTCCGGCCCCACCGCCCCCTCACCACGCCGGGGCCCGCCCGCCGCGCCGCCATGGGCCACGCCCGCCCAGCTCCGGCTCTGCGGGGAAGAGCCGCTGCTCCTTCCGCCCTGCGCCGCGACTGCGCCCCCCCCCGCCCCCAGCGCTGGGAGGTCCGGCTTCCCCCTTTTCCTTGACTGCGCCTTGTTGCCGGCGGCTGGCTCATCGGAGTGAGCTCAGCTCCGGGGCCCCGAGCGGGAGTCGTCGTCTCTCGGGCTGCAGACAACCAAAAGCAAGGAGAAAAGAGTTCTGGACTAGTTCAGTTTGTAGCCAGGGTCTTAAACTGATAAATGAAGTAATCGGAAAAAACAAACCCAAAGTAAGAAATAATACACGGAAAAAAGGCAAAGAGAAAGATGCTGGTCACGGACCAGGCTGCTATCTCACCCTTCACCAGTACATACCCACATCAATGACATATTGGGGCTTCGCTCTCTCCCATTTTACCTCTAAACAGGGAATACAAGCCCTGGCTCTAGAACAAACAGGCATCCTGGTGGCTGTAATACTTGTCTGTAAATAACCTCTTTCTAGATTGCTTAACTAGCTTTTGTTGATTTTCCTCCAAGATGAGGCAGGCCAATAAAATTACCACCTGTGTACCTCAGGCGGCAAGACAGCTACAAATACGAGGTGGAGAGAGTGAGGAACTTAGTTGCCACAAGCATGGAACCCTTTGCTGAGGAGACCGTGCTACCACAGACCAACAAGAGAAAGGTTTTCTGATTATTTTCCTCTTTGGTAAGTCCACATTCTGTCAGTTTGTACTCACTTGAGTTGATGGAAGAGCAGAAAAGATATATTTACACTATTATGAAGTTAACTGGGTTTTGTAGTAATTATTATTATGCCAACACTGCTCCTATCTTAAAGGTAAAAAGGATTAGCAACAAACCAATACCTTCATAAATAATAATGCTGACATACACCATGCAAAAAAAGCACATTCTTACTTAATATACTTTGTAAGACTTCCAGAATGTAAAGGCATCATAGAACCCAGAACAAGCATAATAAAAAGGAAAGAAAGTTTCTGAACTTACGTGTAAGTAAATAACACAAATACATGCAACAAAATAGATTTTTCTTTATTCTTGTAATTCAGTACTCACAGTATTTCCCTTCTTTTTGTACAAAAGTGGATGCAAGTGTAACATAAAATACTCAAGAGCTACACAGAATATAGTATGATTATATCTCCTGTTGGAGCTTCTTTCCTAATCCTCTTCCAAATCCCTCACATACAAAGATAAATTCTTGCAATCCTGACATTAGGATTATTCTTGAAGTAAAACATAAGCTGTAATCTTTCTGAAGCTGCCTGCTGTTTAGAATTAGGGCTGATTGTCTGAGCATATCCATACTGCAGGGACCCACTGGGGCTCATCCTGTGCACGATGTACTGCAGACAGCAGCTGTGCAGATGCTTCTTGTAAATTGTCATTCACAATCACATGATCAAAGAACTGACCAAACTGAGCTTCCATTTTCTTAGCTGATTCTTCCATTTCCTGTAAATCTTCTTCCTGTGAGACAGAGTAAGTCCATAAAACTTCAGTGTTGTGTAGAGAAAAATATCTGCACAGCATCTGCAAAACACCTTGGGCCACGTAAACAAGAGGTGAATAGATAATGTCAGTCTGCTTTATTTCATTTACAGTTGGTATAATAAAGTACCTCTGCTACAGTCATTTCCAAGTCTCAAAAACTGAGCTGCCTGCCATATGCTTCCCAAGGAAGTACCTGGTGTCCCAGGATGCTCCATTTGCCCTATAAAGTTGCTTTAATGATAAAGTACTGGCAGAGAATGTTAGGGACTGGAAGGTAAATCTACTAATGATTTTGTTCTTATTCCAAATTTTAGTTTATTTCCCCAGAGTCCATGTTACTTTCTGTCATAGCAATCATGAGTAATTTCCACACAATTATAAACTTAGGTCTCAAAAATGTTAAGATGCTAAATTTGATGATGATTTGCATGGAAACGATTGTGTCAAAGTGCTGTATATATTCTAAATATAAGAGATGCATTTCCTACAAGCAGGATCTGTGTTTTATCTACAGAACTTGGTATTAGATTGATAATGATATTAAGCATACATGAAATAATAATACATTCTTATATCTGTGGAAAAAAATAATACTACTGAACAAAGCACATTCCAAGTATTTCAATGCAAACAGTAAATATATGTGTTGACTAGAATATTGACACAAGGCAGCTAAATAAAACAAAAATATGCAAAATAGCTTCTCCTTTAAAGACATTTTGAAACAAAGTGCTTCAGCCCCCTTTGTTACAAATTACAATTCTTATGCTTCAACGCCAGTCTGTAAGGGGAAAAGAAATCCCAACAAAATCCACAGAAAAAAGATAATAATTAGATTTGATCCTAAAGACACAGTAATGTTTTTTTAAGAGTTAAGAGTGTAGCATAGTAGAACACATTATGTTCTAATAACAGAATCTCAAATTAATAAACTCAATCTCTTTTATTCCCAAATCTCACCTTGAACTTCATGTTCACATAATAATCCGTAATGATCCTGGCATTTTTACGAGTCTGCCTCATGCAGCCTATGCTGGGTGGCTTGATGAATATAATGTAGGGCTTTAACTCATGGGTCCGGGCTATTTGTATACCCTACAAATGAAGAGTAAAATGAAGTATTTCAAGTGTATTCATCCCAGTTTTACTCCCATAAAAATCCAGTTGTTTACAACATACTGTGATCCCTAGACCTAGGAGACACTTTTTTCAGGAACACTTACTTGAAAAAGATCTCAGTAATAATCCCTGGAGCAGACATTGTTAAGCTACTGTAGCATACAATTACTTAATTCTGCTTGGTAGCATCATTAGGAGATGCTTTCAATACCAGGGAGTGATGGAACAGTGTCATTAACAGATCTCTACAATCAACCACATAAAAGATGCATTTGAGACCTGTTCTTTTTTGACTTTGAGGGAGCTACTTTTGGAACAAGTACCTCTTTATTGTTCCATGCTGGAATAAAGTAGCCTGCTTTCAGAAATTCTTTACTGTGTAACATTTCCTAACTCTAGTAAGTATTTTTAAATTACTGCAGAGTAGTGGAGGGAATGAAAAAAAAAAAAGAAAAACTAAAGAAAATCATAGCATGTAAACTTGGTCAAACCACCAGATTTAAAATAAAGTATGCAACACAGCAGTAGTTTTGCTACCTCACTGGTCTTACTTAATACCCTTTCTAAACCTTGTCCTTTAAACTCATACCCTAAAAAAAATCATAGTGGCACATCCGTCGAAGTGGCAAGATTATACTCCCCATGCCACAACATCCTTATTTTGCCCCTTTGCTTAAAAATGTAACAGAAGAAACCCAAAGGACAGTTTTAGATATGAAGACTAAAGTGTGACCTCATGTACCCCTTCCAGCATTTTCAGTTTTTGAGTAGTACCCCACAAATCTTTTAACTTAGTTTCTGTTTCAAGCAGCACAAGCCACTGCCAGCCTAAGGCTTGGACACATTGGCTCTGCATACTTAGAGGGAAATATCCAAAAATTACTGAGTTATGGTGTCACTGTTTACATTCAGTTAGAAGAGATGTTTAAATGGCATAGCCCAAACAGCTTCTAAGTACTAAATATGCAAGGAATTCAAAGAAGGTTAGCAAGGTTTAACTAGACACAGCTCTAAGTATCTTAGATATTTACAAGCTCAGGCTTTTATTAGCCTTATCTTCATCAGCAAATTCAATCAAAAATAGAAGGAAAATAAAAATCAATACTATCTAACTGAAGAAACAGGTTACTAAGAGATTTAACTTCTGGAGAGAAATGCAGACACAAAGGCATACTAAAATTTTCAGCTTTTGCTTGATTACTTTAAGTGTTGCTGCTTTTTACCAAAGGGTGTTCTGAGATTGCTAACAGAAGAATAGAACTCTCAACAGTAGGGCTTGGAGAAGGAAGAAATCCCATGCAACAGGTGTTCACATGAAAGACTAATCCTTACTTTAAGTAAGTATGAAAACTCATTTCCATACCATCCTGATAATGCAGCTGCTGGCTTGGTAAAAAATGCACTGTCTCAATATACTTGTCACTGTAGTACCACCACCCCCTAAGACACGTGAAAAGAATAATCTATTATTAATAAGCACCACGAGGTAAAGTGAAAAAGAAGACAAAGCAACTAACACTGTTCCAATGGCTCAAGAATGTAGAAAAAATTATTTTTCCTTGCAAAAGATTCCCTGCCCCTTTACCACTCACCTGTGGTTCTAAATCTATTACACAGATCTTCCCTGCGTCAAGGACTGTTCGCACTGCATCAATACTGGTACCATACAGGTACCCTTTGTACTCCCCATATTCCAGCATTCTGCAACAGTGATGAGGAAGAAGGAAAATGAAAGAGCATTTGAGTTTCAAAAAGGTTCAATTTAAATATGAAATCTTCAAATATAATCCAGTGATCAGGACTGAATGATCATAAAACCTACTGAATACTGCTCACCTTGTCTCTTCTCTGCTACACTAGGCACAAAAACCATTACAATTAATCTCCAAAACAGGCATTCTTTACTCATCATGGGTTTATGAATTTTGTGTTTAGAGGTTGTGATTTTACTCATCAATGCTTGTCAATTACATACTACAAAAAACTCCTTAAGTCTGAAGATCTCATAGCACTTGGTACAGTTCAATGAGTGTCGCTTCTGTATCTCTGGATATGTTTAAAAAAAGACTGGATTTGGCGCTTGGTGCTATAGTCTAGTTGTGGTGTTAGGGCATAGGTTGGACTTGATGATCTTAGAGGTCTCTTCCAACCTCATTATTCTGTGATTCTGTGCTGAGCTGGTCTGTCTTAGAGAGATTATTGATGCATAGAAAGGAGCAGATACTTTTGAATATTTAGCCCTTACAGTTCAACTACTTGTGTGTCATCACTGCAGAGATCCTGCAATGGAGTTGTAGGTCAGGATCAGGTATGATTTACTGCTAAATTTTCAAAAGCAGTCTGATTTCCAGAGTTAAACTCATAACTTACAAGCACATCTAATGAGCTCAGGACTAGACAGACCACTTCCTTTTAGAAGGACTCTGAGATTAATTGTGGAGGAGCTATTTGCAACTGCACAAACAGAGTCTTTGAACAAACAGTCTCAAGTAGTTTGACCCAAATTTACACCACACATATACAGTAAGAGTGGAGGAGCCCAGACTTAGGACTAACTACAAAACTGTACTTGGCTCATGTTGCATTTTAGGCAATAAAAATGTAACTCATCTCTCCTACTCACCTGTGGCTATACACCATGTTTTCAAAAGTTTCCTTTGATATGTAGTGATATTCACGACCATTCATTTCATAACTTTTCTGAACACGAGTGGTGTCTGAAGGATGATATAACACACACACAAAAAACTAGCTGTAACTCAATTATCATAACTTTATAAGTGAAAATGAGAACTTCATGAAGAACTACCAATCAACATTTTAATAAATAATAATATGAGTTATTTCTATTTGTTAATCCAGAGCAAAAGCCCCATATACTGTAATGGTTTGCCAGTGACAAGTCATTGAAAGTTATCAAAGCAGAACTGTATTTCTTGGAATGGAAGAGTAGTTTAATCCAAATAGTCGTGATTCAAAGCAATCAGGAACTGCCTTGGAACTGGTTGCACAACTCTTTACTCTTCACAGGTAGATTTTTTTTAAAGTTCATTCAGAAAAATCCCACAAGTTTCCCACACTTGCACCTTCCCCTTATCTGGGACCTTAAGCACTAAGTCCTGAATTTTCAGCTAGCTTCAGATCATAATTTCTAGTTGGGTTATCTAAATTACAAGAACCAAATAAGTACAGTTAGAAATAATTTCAGCTGTTACGTCAGAAGTTAAGCTGCATAAGTCTCATCTGAGACTAGGAGGCTAATAAGGAAAGCTGCAAAGCCTATTAAGCACCAACTTCTGTTGTCTTCATTCTCATACCTGAGCACTTAAACCCTAAGAACTTGAAGCATCTCCAAGAAACATTCTTTTTTTTTTTGAATCTAGGGAAAGCAAACACCAAAATTTAGCCAAATCATGCAGATAACTTTTCATCTCCATAAAGCTTTTAATGGATTCAGAAGCTGGAACTTGAACATACCTTTGTCTGATTTGCCAAAATGAGATAGATAGTATTTTAAACAAACCCTTATGAAAGCAAACAGTACTGGCTTTCAGTAGAGCTGAAGAAACAGCCATAGAGCAAAGAGTGTATAAATACACAAAGGCAAGAGGATGGTACTTGGCATTTCCTATTCATGTTTAAATTGGGGTAGGGGAGGAAAGAGGAAAAGCATTACATACGAGGTGTGGCACTTTGAAACTCTTGTGGGTTACTTGTGATTAGCCTTCGCCTTAGCTCATTCACACCAACTCCTGCAGGACCTGGAAAGTTGGAAGAGCAGCTAATATTAACAGGGTACAAATCACTCCCCAGCAATGTAGCCATACCCAGGAGGCAACTCAGTGGTACTATTTTAAAAGACAAAAAATAACAAATACTTCCAGACTTAGAAAGGACAGTGGATTTGCCTTTACTCAGTTTGCTTTATCATGACCATAGAACAGTGCAGAATAGCATCTTTCCTTCAGTCACTACAATTAAAGTCTCCTTGAGAGCCTGAAGCCCACTTAATACAGTATGTCCTATAACAAGCATTATATTAAAGGCATTTTTCTATACTGTCCATGATTGAGATTGTTCTAGTTTGGAATTAAGTATTCTTATTATTGTCAATATCTATGCATTTAACACTGATTGTAGAAATGCCTCCATGTTAAGATGTTTTCTATTGAGATACCAATGTTTTCTCATAACTTTCAGTCCCAGCTGAATATAAAAGTGAACCACTTCCCTAACAAAATCCATTATCAACCAGCATTTGTAACCACCTCATTCTAAGGACTTTATTATTGCTTTTTTTAACACTATCTCAAGCAAAGAAGATGATACCTGCATTAAACTTTAACCCCAATAATGGGGTCAAATTACAATAATTCTTGAAGTGTTGCTTTGAGAGCTGCCTACACCAACAGCACTGCAATCAGCAGCAGGAAACCCTTGCTGAAATTTGCCTGCGAAGGTCGTTAAGCTCTTACCTACGAGGATAATTAGTCTGTGCCGGTCTGTTGGGTGCCGCTGGTACCTGACCACCTCTTCGTAGGGAGCTGCCAGGGTGCTGTAGCAGCTGCTGGGGCAGCGGGAGTAGCAGGACTGCTGGTTGAGCCGGGCCTTCCTGCGACACAGCCGCATGCTTCTGCGGAATCCAGCTGGGTGGGGCAAAGGCACAGTACTGGAAAATACATCCGGCATGCAGGCAACTAGCTCTTTAGCCCAGAGGGCCTCTTTCTAAGCCACACAACATACTACCTTTTCTGAGGTTTTTGCAAGGTGAAGGTTAGTGAATTTCATTGCTGCACTTGATATGACAGCTTGGTAGAATCTCTGAGCACTAAATGACAGCTACAGAGTAGGTAAAATCCCATCGAAAGTCACATGAAAATTAGCGTAGAATTCAAGACTTGCAAAAGGTCCCCAAAACAAGCTGGAGGAGAAGTTTCTGACTACCTGAACAGGTCAACTTTTTTGATAGTGTAGGTGGTTCACTCTCATGAGGCAAGTCTAAAACATTTGCTCCAGCCTCAAGAACATGTATTTTAAAGGTCACTATAGTTTAGTAACCATAGAGGTAGGTTTGTTTCTCCACTTGACATCCAACTCTGAAAACTTCACATATAGATGTACATTTCAAATGACAACCCTCATGATTATTCTCAGTGGATAACAGACATTACTTTTGAGAAAAATTAAAAATGAAGTCAAGTTAAAATAGTTGCCAAGCCTCTGTAGAAACCTAACAGGAAGAAAGACTTAAATGGAGAGACTGAGCATTATTACTAAGAGACTTGCTGACGTTTGGAAAACAGAGTATGTTGTATTCCATTTAGTAAGACTTTAGGTGATATAAGAAAAAAAGCTTTCTATTGAACTGCATTCAAGCACTTAAGCTAGATCAAGCCCCAAACATTTTACTTATCTTTAGTCATTGCATACCAATAAAGACTCGTTGACCAAATTCACCAAATTCTTCCTCTTCTAGAATACAAAGAAAAATACTCATGAAATAAAAGAGAAAGCTTAAAAGCTTGATGTCAATCAATTATTGCTGATCCAAGGGAAAAATGAGTTTCAGTAAATATGTGTAAGTAAGATGCCTAATTTTAAAAGCATGATACTCGATAATATCAAAATATTTCACATGACCAATGACCAATTCAAAAGGGTTATTATAAGAAAACATAAACATAGTCTTGGTATTTCCTAAATTAAGTTTGAAACTTTACATTTTATTTGTTCCATTCCCAATATATCTACATGCCAGACAATGTTTTGAAATTGAAATTAGTGAAAAAACATCCACATAATTTAAGCTTTTGAGGTGAAATCAATCTTACAATAAGTCTTCAGTTAAAATAATAACAGTCAGTAGCGCAAAACTAGAAACAAAAAATTTGTAACTCAGTTTCTGCCCCATAGCATATTTGGAAAATGCAACTTGTGTCTGCTCAGATCTTTCAGGCAAAATGAAGACCTGATTTTATTACTTCTTTTTCTTCATTGGATCAGTGATATCTGTGCTCCAACATGTAAGCCTAACCTGTTTCCTCCAATTCTTTTTCTCCTCATTCTCATGCTGTTCATCATGAAGCTATCCTAATAGCTACACTATTCAGACTTCTAAAGCTCTGTATTTTTTTAAATTAAATCTCTCATATAAGATTCAAACATATCAATTTTCCAATAAATCAATGTTCAGAAAGTAGAGAAACTGTTTGAGAAAGGTGATTTGAAAACAAATAATTAAGGAAAAAATTGTGCCAGTGTTTAGCTTTCTTTTCAAAAAGTACTCATTATTTTCCTTTAATCACACATGTAGTTATCCAAGCTGTGCATTCCCTTTGTTTAGGCCTTGTTATGGCAAGAATGAGATACAGAAGACGTAAGCATGTCTTTAAAAGCAATATTTGTTCCAAGGAAAAACATTATTTTCATTTGCAAAGCTTTGAAATGCTTTTAGCACTCTTTGATTTACACTTATCTCATAAGCATGGAAGTATTGAAACAAAATTAGATGCATGTTAATTGCCCTTTCACATCTATACACTCTTCATTACTTGTACCTTTACAATACAGTTTTATTCCTACATTTCTGTATGTACTAACAGCTAGTTAATGATTATGGGAAAAACTCCTTGGCACAAAACTCCTCATTCAGGGCAATGTTCAGAGTGATGTTAAATTGATACATGCCCGTCTATCTTCGAGTCTCCCAAGTCGTCATTCAAACATGTTGAAATCTTTCTGCTTTATCTACCCTGTCTTCTGTGGTGTGGAGTGCAATGTAGAATCCTACAGGGAACAAGCAATTCAGCTACCAGGTATTGGAAGAAGAGTGGTAGATCCTGCTAAAGCATAAACATAGATAAATTCTATTAGATTACTGCTACAGGAGACAGGGAGAAATATGTTAGTATTACCTTCTTTAAGCTCCTCTGCAGATCCAGATAGAGACAGATATAAAACAATTAGTTTTGAGAAGACAGTCTATACTATGATCAAACAAAAACCCTAACCAGCATTGTCCAACACATTTAGGGAATGTAGAAAACAGGTACTAAGGACATTAAATCTAAAATATGCATGAATTCTTAGTTCCCAAAGAATGCAAGAACTGCAGCATTTATTTCAGTACGGTAGTGCAAAATCTGCAAATACTGTTTAAAGTGGAATGTAGGATAGCAAATATTTGCACCTTTATTCCTCTGACTGTGTGGATACAGCAGAAAGCTGACTCAGCACTGTGCAGGATTTGCACAGTAATCCCCAAGTGCAGCTATCAGAAACATCCTAGCCTGAAAACAAAAGATTGCCCTGCAGACCTGCTGGTTATGCCTTAAAAGCATTGGGCATTGCTTGAGAGGTTGAAGAGAACAAATGCTTGTGATAAGAGAAGGTGAGAAAGAAGAACTGGCAAGTAGAGACCTTGTGGAGAAGAGCAAATGTAAGGTAAAATGACATTCTTCTCCACAAGATGACCAAATACTTCAAATAAGAAGTTTAGCAGTAGTTTTATTTTAGGGGAGAAATTATTTATTTTAGAAGACTTAAGTTTTGCAGAACTCTCAATGTGCTGTAAATAAGCAGATGCTTCCTAAATGAAAAAACAAACAAAAACCCCCATATCAGCTTGGTTAGAAAAAAATATACTTATTGATTGTATTTTTTATACATAAATAATGAATTTTATAAGCATTTTTCTTTCCTGTATGTCAGCCATGCCCACAATCAGGAATCCAGAAGCAGCTTTCCTCTTTACCACATCAACTCCTACAGGCACTGGGGATTCAGGCCTCCACATTACTGAAGGCAATCCAATTATCTGCTGACATCAGTGCAGCCCCTGCTGTCACAGCTTGCATGGGTACAGCTGATGAGGGTTGGATAAATCGATCTGCTACTGATGCACGAGAAAAAACATTCACACTCGTGGGATAAGAGGACTGAAACCTTACTACTAAGAGGAAGACTTAAAGCAACAGGATTTTACATAGTGGCTTTTCAAGCCAGAATGGCTTCTGAAGCTAAAGTGGCATTTTGGTTTTTGCCACTTGCTTGTTTCTAAGATGCTTGTCTCTGGACACACTTCTCACAGCAGAACAATAGCAAGGAATTTAGAGTTAGGTCAGATGAGCTTACCTGACTCAAATGTTTCTTCATCTTGTATAGTAATCCAGATAGCAAAGACATTAAAATAAATTCAAAATTTAATTATTTTTCTTCTAATGAATATCAGAATCAGAAATCAGTTTTCCAGCTTCTGTCGGTCTGTCTCACATATACTTTCCCCAGCTCCCTCTACCTTCAGGTGGCAAAATACAGCTCACCATACTTGAATTAACTGCTTCGTCTCTTTTCACACAGTCCTACAAGATGACATCTCTCCATGAGAGCTTCTTAGTTATCTTGGAGAAGAAAGAATGAACTGCACTGTTTTAGGGAGCAACTCAAGCTACCAATCTTTACAACACAGTGTTCACAAGTAAAAACCTATTCTTGCTCCTTCTTCTCCCAAGATCAGGAATTTCTTGATAAGGAATTGTGTGGGTTCCCCAAGACCACAACAATCTGTGGCATTAAATATGCAATTGGCAAAAAAGTATGGTAACTTTACAGCCACAATCCAACACCTGAATCAAGCAGTTGGATCTCATTCAAGCAAATATTTTTGTGCTGGTCAAAAACACTTGACTATAAGCACTGTACACTGGAACTGCAAACAGCTCATTTTAATACACTAATACAAGGTGAGATTTCCATAGTATGAAAACCAGAATTTTCTACCATTAAGTTCACAAGGAGAATGAGTGGTTTTATCTAGGAAATGAGGGTTTAAACTAGCTACTGCCTTGAAGCAAATAAAATGATCTCAAGTGAATTCAGTTACCTGTTTCCACACACTTTTCGTCAATCTGCATGTCATCCTCTACAGATCAACAAAAGGGAAAAAAATTCATCTGAATCAGAAAAACACTAGAGAAGAAAAACACCCTTACAGATCTTACAAGACTGAACTCAGACATCAGAAACAAGATACATGAAGCTCAAATAAGTTTTAGACATCTTTAAGGACTTTAACTGTTAACTCCAATTTAGTGATGTTCTTCATATTACAGTGAGCAAAAACTCTTGAGTGCTCTGAAGGCAGAGACAAATGCATCTTATTTGAATTCTCCTCTTGAAATAATGAAAGGTTTAACATGCTTGTCAATATGTTTATCCAGTAGATATCTATTTATTAAGTATTACCATGAGGGAATATAATTTTCTGTCTTATAGCTTTTAAATATCTTTCCAACATGCTACACTCAAGGAAAGTATTTTGCTTCTTATTTTTATTATTACTTTTACAAGGAAGAAAAGGAAAATATAAATTCAACTCTTTCTCAATCCCCAGACTATATCAATTTATTTCCCAGAAATGTGATCACATGAGCTTGGGCAATCTCACGGGCTCACAATACAACACTGTTTTTGTTTTGTTCTTGCACACCCTTCCAGATAGGCCCAGCAGTAGCTATTTTCCAGTTACAGGGCAATTGTCAGAATATCTGTCAATCACATTCTGCCCCTATGTATCCTTTAATGAAATACTCTCTTGGAGCTGCTGCAGGAGAGAAAGAGGGAGAAGAAAAGAGAAAGAGGAAATTTTGTCTTTCTTTCCTCAAAGAGCCCATCCAAACCATCATTTCCCTGACAGATAATGCACAGCTAAGGCTTCAACTTTAAGACAATGCATGCATCTACTAGGTGAAAAAAGGCTGGATTTCAATTATGTTAAGCATACAAAATGCCAAGAACTTGGGCTTCTTCCACATGTATTTATCAAAATGCCTAATTTCTGACACCTTTTTTAAAAGCCTGTAAAACCATGTGTCATGTTGGTTCCAGGTACAGAAATGCAATGCTGTCCAGATGTGATTTCCTACCTTCTTCCACAGTGCTTACTGCTCACAGCATATCCATTGAAGCAGTTAAAATGCAATAAAATTATGGTGAAAGAGAGCCTCAGCTCTAACAAGCAATGCAATCAGTGCAATAAGAATCCTAGGGAATGAAACACATGCCCCCTGGGATTTATCATGACAGAAAAATTTTATATTTGCATAAAGAACTATAGAAGGAAAATGGGGACAGAAGAAACAGGAAGAACATTCTTTTTCTGGGAAAAATTGCATATATACAGAACATTATAGCTGGCAGAAGATAATATTTCTGGATTATTACCATGAATAAATTCAAGGGCAGCATAGCTTATCTTAGACCTCAAGAAAATTAAGTTCTATTATTTTCTTAATAGCTTTGATGGCAAAGAAACATTCCAAACATGGCACTTCTCAGTGGCAGAGTTGGTATCTGTGTCACCAGAAATCCAGGCCAGTACAATTGTCACTTCAAAACTTACAGCCAATTTTCCTAGAGAGAACTGGCTGGCCTCGTGAGGTCCTAGAACTTAGAGACTTTAGAAGAAGTTGAACTCACAGCTTCTCTTATAGTCAGATCTCAAGTACACTGGAGACAACCATCTCCACCATCAGTACTCTAGGTATAATTATCAGTAAGTATTTTTTGTTCAGGTGATAGTTAACACAGTTGAAGGTTACAATATGGCTCCAGAAACAATGTCTTTGAATTAACCTGAATTGTATAAGCTTTTATTTCAGTATCCCCAAAACAGAGACAAGATCTTTCTCTCCTGCTGTATTGCTCAAGTAACTTTTCACTCACACATTGATGATTTGAGACACAGGTGGGGCTGGAAGGGCTGACACCACCAGAATTCTCGCTGCTTCCTACATAGAAATAAATTTATCACAGTTAAAAAACAAAACAGTCCACAAGCACATTATGCTCCAGTCAGATTGACTGCTTACATGTAAGATTGATCAGTACTGAACTGAGAGAAGACAGCAAGAACTGAAACATTTTTTTGCAGTGTTTTAGCCCACTGCAAAAACCTGAAATAAAACCAATGTGCTATCAGAAGTATTCAAATTTCCAAATCAGCAGCCCAGAAGTACTAAGTATTTATATAAAAGTACAGGAAGATAAGCCATACTGTGGCACAGACTCCTGGAAGTAGAAGAGTGTGCTGCTGGTAGGGGTAGTAGTACTACTGCCTCCATTACTGCACAGAGCCATTTGCAGCCTGAGCCACAACCCAGTTTGATTTCACCTTGCATTATACAGACTGCAGGTAGGTTTATATTTATTACAAAGTGAACTTTATTATGTGCTATTTCATGACCTTACATTATCCTGGGGGTACCACAGGACATGTGGTTAAAGAATCAGATTGAAGTTTGCTACAGCAGTGTAAATACTCTGATTCTGAATGCATGTAGTGTAAAAATAACGGTCTGTTTATGCAGAAAATAATAGGCAAGAGATCCTTGTTCTTTCTTGAGTGCTTGTTTTTTTTCTGCATTCTTCCAATCTGGCCTACTCGGTTTTGACCAAAGCTGAAGAGGTCACTCATGCATCACAGGACATCTTTAAAAAGATACTATGCTTTTAGTATCCCGTTCTTCCCCTGCTTTTTTTTTTTTTTTTTCCCATCATAGATGATGGACATTTAGTAGTCAGGGCCCTCAATTTCCATACATCTTTCAACTGCTACACTCCAATAGATGTCTCAGCAACCAGCATGGAGACTGGACAAGTGCTGCAAATAAATGGAAATTTGAGATTATACAGGTGCTTTCAAAAGTTTTTTCTCACACAGGTGCTCTTGAGGGGAAAATAGCAAGAAGTCAGAGGAAAGATGTTTGTCAGATGTCACTCTGAATCATACTGCTACAAAACTTATGAAAATGTTAAATAACTGGCTGATTTTTGAACCAGAGATCAGGAAAATGATTTTTTTTTTTTACCTTTTAAGAAGATGATTTGAGGGTATGAGTCCAGCACAGGCACTGAGATCTGAAACTTTCCTGGCCTGCCACCAGAGAGCGTCATTCTGGTCCACAATCTGGAGTATTTCACCCCTCTTGAAAGGCAAACCTGCATCAGCACATGGTATGGCAGGATCTTGCAGGGGCCAGTAATCTGCCATTGCTCGCACATACAGCTAGTAAAGAAAATATACAAGAGTGAGCGGAAGCCAAGTTTACAATGGATACAACATGGGCTTTACAATCACAGGGCCTTATACTGCCGCAACCTCAGTCTAATGATGAAGTCAAGTTTTAAAAACCAGATCAGGCCTTAAACCCTCTCTGTTCATTAAATCAGAAAAAAACCCATTTGTTTCATACATTATGAAAAGAACTGACCTTCAAATCGTAGATCACTCAGAAAGTGCCTTTATTGCACTGTTACATTTCTACTTAGTGTTTTTATTGCTTCAGCAACAACATATTGATGTCAGCTGAGAGGCAGCCATAAAGGCAAGGTAACACTTCTGGGATTGCAATAAACTTGCAGGCAACACCATGTCTTTGTATCACACAATTGGGCACTACTGCTACCAGCCTGGGAAAAGAAAAATGTTTCTTACTGTTGTTTGGTTGCTGACAGGCCGATCAGAAACTGGAATTAATTTGAACATGATTGTCCCCTGAGACAGGGCCTAAATGATTAGAAAAGAATTAAAATATGGTTGGTATTCAACACAAGTAATCAAACATAGGCAAGCATGACACAGCATGGCTTTGAGGATACTGCAATGTTTGTGTTACAGATAGAATTCACGTAGATGGAGTCAATGTGACAATACTGTATTTTTTCCAAAAGGAAACTAAAGAATGAAACATCAAAGTTTTGCTAAATATTTTTTAATTTAATGCAACCTATGTTTCATTGTAAGTATGTGTAATTTCAGTATTGAATCATCCCATACTTTTCTACTGAAATCTTATTTAAATTGGCAGCAGAGTTTGGTTAGTTGGGTTACATAAGGGGAGAGAAACATAATTTAGTAATTAAGCATTCCAATAGAGTTTGTATTTCTTATACCTAGAAATGGTATAACCATGGCAATTGCACATAGACTTGGTATGATTACACACGGTAATAACTCACTGGGTGACACTTAACAGTCAAGAACCTTGAAAAATTGTGTGCAAAATGACAAAATAGGGACATCTCAGCAGATTTCTTAATGAGAATTTTGACAATAGTTATTACACTGCCCTTTTCTTGCAAGGTAAGGCGTGTAGCTTACACACTCATTCACTCTGCTTTAGCGCATTTTGTAACACAGACTCTTATTAGAATAGCAGCCTTCTACCACTTTCTTGTGAATATTTCTGAGTGGCATTTCGAGAAAAACTTATGAATCAGTGAAGGCTGAATAAATTAGTATTTTTCCCAGAAGCTGCAGATGGAATGGTCACAGTTAAGTTTATTTCTGCCCAGAACAGAAGTTAGATTTAATTCTGCTTTCATATATTCTGATTTCATGAGAAGTTGGGAACTTCATTCACACTAAGGAAACCATCTGAATTTTCTGTTAAAAATGTCAGGCTTTCTCACGTACAAGAGTGTGTAAAAGAGTGAGCATACAAATAATCTTAAGGTGCAAAGCAGAATACATTTTAAAAATATTAAATACCAGAATATTAATGACTTGCTCAGGTTCAAGACCCTCAACAGGAACTCCATTTACTTCCACCAGTTTGTCTCCAGCATACAGCAACCCTACCATGAAAACAGATATGAAAACAGCAGCAGGAGTTTTATCACAGCATGATTTATCTTGGTTAGGCAAGGCAGGGTCACACAGAAATTAAGACAGCATTAAAATTTTCCTGCACCATGGATGGAGGAAGGCATTTTGGATTCAGTCTGCACCACCCCTGGATGGGACTGCTGTGGGTCACAAGGAGCTTGCATGCTTCAGCTTTCTTAATCCTTCCCACTCCTCCATATGACATCTTTACAATCTACTGATGATTTGCCTTAAAATTAGCATAAACATTTTAATATTGCTCCATTTCCCAAAGTAAATTATTAACCTATCCTGTATTAATAGACAATGAGACTTGGAATCAAATCCCTAAAATCTCCACACGCAGTGGGAGGCCCTGGGACTCCTCTCTGTCCTTTATAGTAAAGTCTTCACAATATTGTTTTCTTTTCCATGTTCCTTTAACTCAATAGAAATATTTGTCTAACTAGGAACTTAATCAGCTATTTTCTGCAAATTGGGTTGTCTTCTTTATACAAAGGCCAGAAAATACAAAAAGGAACTATTTTATAATAATTACAGTTTAATTTTATTCTTATGTTTTACATTTTAATTACATTACCTTTCCTAAGGGACATGGATCACATTCAATTCTAGGATGACAAAGTAGTAACATTTCCAAGAAAACTCCTTGCAAGATTGCTTAGCTACTAGTGCTAAGCAAGGTGTTTAGTAGAGTAGTGCCAAAAAGTATTATTACATATTCCTTAAAGCCCATTATCTTCTAGAATCACCAATGTTTACCATTTCTCCATTAGGGAATGTTCTGCATTTCATACTACACCGCAATTTGGGATATCCAGGTATTGGTGCCAAGAACACATAATGAAAACTGGATTTCTTCGTCAACTCAGTCTAAAACAGCAAATTCATCTGAAAATCTATGAAGTCAGAATGAAAGTCACTGCAATGCATCACTGCTTACAATGCTGTCCCATGTGCACATCATATTGCTCTATAATGGAAGATTAACTGTAGAAGCTAAGGTATTATCTTATACTTCAAATATCTTATTTCAAATTCAGTTTTATGTATCACTTTGTTTCAAATTCCACGTACCACTTCTGTCTGCCAGCCCACCATGGATCACACGGGCAACCGTTATGTCACCTGTTATCTCATGGCGTTTAATGGTGGCACCCTGGCAGGTAAGAACAAAGAAAAACACACTGATCACCAAAGGAGCCCAGTAAGTTTCCTTGCATACCAAAAGTCTGATCTTCACACTGACAAAAAGGCATTGAGGGATACAGCCTTTTTATCACAGCATGGACCTAGAAATAGCCACAGAATCATGGAATAAGCTGAGTTGGAAGGGACCACAAGGATCACTGAGTTCAACTCCTGGCCCTGCACAGAACCATCCCCAAGAGTCACATTCTGTACCTGACAGCATTGTTCAAATGCTTCCTGAACTCTGTCAGGCTTGGTGCTGAGACCACTTCCCTGGGGAGCCTGTTCCAGTGCCCAACCACTTTCTGGGTGAAGACCCTTTTTCTAATATCCAATCTAAAACCTCCCCGGACCCAACTTCAGGCCACTCCCTCTGGTCCTGTCACTGGTCACCAGAAGGAAGAGATCAGTGCCTGCCCCTCTTCTTCCCCTCACAAGGAAGTTGTGACTGCAGTGAGGTCTCCTCCAGGCTGATCAGAACAAGTGACCTCAGCCACTCCTCACATGGCTTCTCCTCAAGGCTGTTCACTATCGTCATGGCCCTCCTTTGGACACTCTCTAATACTGTAATTAGTATCTTTTCTATATCATGGTACTTGAGGTGAGGCTGCCCCAGTGCAGATCACAGCAGGACAATCTCCTCCCTTGCCCGGATGTGATGCTGTGCCTGATGCCCCGCAGGACATGCTTGGCCCTCCTGGCTGCCAGGGCACTGCTGGCTCATGTTCAACTTGCCATTGACCTAGACCCCCAGGTCTCTTTCCAGGGCACTGTTTTCTAGCACCTCATTCCCCAGTCTGTCCATACATCCAAGGTTGCCCCATCCCAGGCGAAGAATACAGCACTTTCCCTTGTGGAACTTCACGTGGTTGGTGATTGCCCAGTTCACTCCTTTATTGAGGTCTCTCTGCAGGGCCTCTCTGCCCTCAAGGGAGTCAACAGCTGCTCCCAGTTTTGTACATTCTATGAACTTGCTAAGTACCCTTTCCAGTCCTGTGTCTAGGTCATTTATGAAGCTCTTGAAGAGCACACGACCAAGGATGAAGCCCTAAAGAACCCCACTAGTGACAAGCCCCCAGTGTGATGTAACACCAGTCAGTATAACCCTTTTTGCCCAACACATGAGCCATTTGCTCACCCATCCCATAATGTGTTTATCCAGCTGTGTGCTGGACATTTTGTCCAGAAGGATACTCTGAGAAGACAGTATTGAAAGCTTTCCTGAATTCCAAAAGGATTATATCAATTGGCTTCCCCTGATCAGCTAGCTGGGTTACCTTGTCATAAAAGGAAATCAGGTTTGAGAAACAGGACTTTCCCCTCAGGAAGCCTTGCTGGCTGTGACCAATGACTGCATTGCCCCTTAGGTGTTTTTCAATACCTCCCAAAATAATCTCCATAACTTTACCAGGCACTGAAGTGGGACTGACAAGCCTGTAGTTTCCAGGGCCATAATGTATTAATACTAAGTCCTACAATGTCTTCAACTTCCATCACACTAAAATAACCTCATTGACTGACAATTAGAAATCTTTTTTATCCCCAATATTACAGCTATCTTTTCCTAAAACAGATTAGCTAAGCTATACAATGTTTGCTGCTTATAGGTACAAATGATTACTAAAGAACTCTCCTCCCTTCCTTTGTTTTGGCCATGGGAATAACTCTCAATCCAGTTTGGTTTTATCTCATATAATGAAAATACATCTGCCAAATGTTCAAACCCTGAGCAGACAAGGCACTGCACAACCTATACCCACACCATGCATGGCTAGATGGTCTTCTCAGGTCCTTTCCAGCCTCAGCAGTTCTTGTGATTCTGTAAAATCTGGACAAGAATGCACATAATCCCCATGACATTCCTGGGAAGAAACCAATATGCATCCAATGCATTATTAATTATTTCCAAGTTAAAAAAATTTGACAGACACAAGGAAGGTCCCTCACCAGAGGCTGGTTGTTTTTCACTAAGCAGACAATCCTCATAGCTTCTTCATTTTCAGGTATGTTGTCTGGCAGTGGTGGAAGGGTTGGTTCAAAATCCTTCTGGGCCACAGTATCATGAGCAGATAGCAAGGCCTGTTACAAATGGAAACAAGCAAACCAACCCAACCCATAAGCAAAGATCATATAATAGCAGAACTTTAAATAGCGACTAGTCAGAAAAGAGAAATACTGAATATGTTCCTTTGTGAACACAGATCCCTTGCACATACTGACATCATCTTCTTTCCACCAAGAAAATCAAACCATGAAGGTTTTAAGAACAGCTCCTCTGTTTCTTGTGGAAAACCTTCAAAAGATGAAATATTTCTATTTGGAGCTCTTGGATCAAGAATGCAGATTCTGCAATTTCAGGGAAAATTTAATATATATCTGCATTAACTGCACATAATTTAGAACTTTGTAAGAAACATCTTTCAAACACAGCCTTAAGTAAAATGCAGCCCACTGTAGGTACTTCAGATACACAGTCCACATTTGATCTCATTATCAGGTTAGTTCATCATTAGTAAACTATGTCTCTTCTGGCTCCTTTACCAATTCTTGTGTAACAGCTGCCTATCCACTTCCATTCCCACTGCAGAGAGCTCCATGAGCAAACTTTTTCTATCCTTATGTAGGACTTACCTTGAAGTGTGGAGAGCGCAGTAGTCGTCTTAGCTCTTTGATCTCTCCTGACTGAGGGGCTTGATGAAGTAACTCGACTACCTGATAAATGTAAAAAAGAAAGCACAGAGATGGATTCTAGAAGACAATTCATTTAGAAAGCTCTACACTGAATGTAAAGAAATGCAGACAGTGCAAAGCCCCCCCATGTTATGTGAGTCAGAGGATGTCCATATGGTTTGCTGTAGAACTGGACAATATGACCACAGCTGCACAACACTCAGCCAGGCTTAATTTAGTTCAGGCACAGTGCCATGTACTCTAAATCAGTTTTTGCTTCCATCTCTCAACCAATTTCATCACTAGTCTCAGTTTCTCTACTTCGTCATTAACTCTCCCACTAATTAAAATATTTAGAATTCAGCTATTATAATTAGGAAAATGCAAAAAGCTTTTCAATATCCTCATGTCAGTCTGCTTGATTGCAGCCATAGAACTGAACCACAGGGTTACATGGGAAGAAAAATACATGGTCAGTGATTAAACAATTAACATTTGTGTTCATTACGCTGGCCAGGATTTACGTAGTCCAGCAACCACAGCTGTGCCCACTTCTCATGCCCCTCCCCTCCCCCACAGTAAAGCCTGTTGAGTAGTTTTTCAAATGTGCAAGGAGAGTTTCAAGTTTATATACTGTACTTAGACCTGAGACACAGAATAAATACCAGAACACTTAACTGCAGCAAAGTCCGTTCATTTGGTATGGATAAGTAAAGCAATAAACTGTGCATACATCTCACCTCACGACTCAATGCGCGTGCCTGCAGCGTGACAGGATCTGGTCTTTTTCTGAGATAGTGTTGAAGGCATTCATAAATCTGTTGCCACACCATGACAGACAAAACAAGGCAATGATGACATTGACCAGTTCACATGATCATATAGATACATACATGACAGGCAATGGACAACATTATTTCTGGAAACTTCTCAGTCCAACTAGAGCCACAGAGTCTGTAATCTAAATTCTTAATATCTGGCACATCTGGAATTGAGTCTTGTTATTATTATCAGGTAGCTAACCAGTTATACTGTAGTTTTGAATTTTCCTAGAAGAAAAGCTGTCTACACAGGTAAATAGCCTGATAGTCAATTCTATGATTTGAAGCCTATTTCCTTCCACTATTTGAAGGCATAATTGCTGCATTTAACATGCCCTTATGAGCATTCTTATCCAGTAAAAGCTCCTCTTTAAAAATCAAAGACTTTAAAAATCCTTCTTAAAGAAAAGCAGAATTTTTACAGAATTTGTCTCAGAGATAAAATTCTTCTCAAGATAGAAACACCCAATTACACATCAGATGAATGGGATGCAAAATAAAATAGTGTGTCACAGGCCAAGAAGTGGGATGCATAGCCATACTGAAATTTAAGAACAGGAAAGACAACTGAGCAATGATGTGTTCAGTGTCTATCCCCTGGCCTTAATACAGACAGTAAAGTAGAAGAGCCAAAATGTCTAGGACATTATGGAAGAGAACACTTTATTTTCCTTTAAAGCATAAGTGGTTTTGTCTGCTGCGACTGCTGATGTTAGAACTGACATCAGGACTATCACCACTTAGCGTAAATCAGTATTTATTGTCCTCATATGGCAAAATCAAGTAGCTATTCCCTAGAGATTGTTCTGTAGGTGATCTTTGGTTTCCCAGCTCTGTGGTTCCTTACCTTTAGCAGTGCTTGCAGCCAGCGAGATCTGAGCAGGTCATAGAGCGTACCAACGCCATTGACATCTCTCTTACAGAGCAAACTGAGCTCTTGCAGCGCTAGAGTCAGAACATGAGATACACCTGAGCCCAAGAAACAGAAAAGCGCAAGACACTTCAGTTCAAAGAGAAAACCAACCAAAGCCAAACACTGACCCAGACCTTTGAAATGCACCTTTCCTCAATTTGCACTTCTAAGAAATGCACAGACATTTCCCGTCTGCCTTGCTTTTTTTCCTGGAATCAACTCTGTTGAGTAAGAGCTATTTTACCATGTTATTAGCCAGCAGGGTTAGGTCAATGCTAGCAATTTGCAACTGACCTGTGAGAAAGCCATGCAGGCAATCTCACATGTCACAGTCTGGGTTCAAGTTCATACCTCCTACCAAGAAGAGGTGAAACAACAAAAAACTCCTTGGCTTTATAAGCCAGAAACAAATGTCAACTATTCTGATACTCTCTTAAGTTAACTGCAAGCCACCACTGAACGTCAAGAATCATTCCAGTTGTAGAGTAGTAATACTTCATACACATTCTCTCATGACCCATGGAAGAAGAGTCACAGAGATCAAGGAATACAACTTTCTGAAAAGAGAAAGAAAACTGAAAAAGATATGTGAAAGTTACCATTATCTTTACTGCTGACTGTTGGCACCTCCATCTTCTCCTTTATTCAAGGAGATTCCACCCACTTTGAATACTGCATTCACACCAAGTTGGTTTCACAAAGACAGATGATGAACTAGGGAAAAGAACACCCTCATATCAGAATACTGACAGATATTTTACACTGATAAGAAAGCAGAATTTAAAACAAAGGAAGGGGTGTGCAATAATTTGTATTTAAAGTGCATCACAGGTGTAAAAAATAAACATATGAGTCTCACCTGTAAATTCAGCTACCCAGTAGCATCCAAGATGCCGACAGACAAACCTCAAGTGCAGTATGGCATTTTAATATCTTTATAGAATTGATATTTGCTTGCTTCATTAAGTCATCTAAAACAGAAAGCTGTTTGGTCCATCTTCTAGCTATCCAGCTTCTTAAATGTGCTACCATGAGAAGTCGTAATTTTTTCTAAAGACTTAAATCTTGTTTTATATCCATATAGCTTGGAAAATAATAATATTCAAGGAAAAAGTACATTTAATTCCTCTTAATATTGACACAATATTAAAACTGAAAGACTGGAGTTTCTACTGAATTTTCATTGAGCAAAGACATGATTTTGAAAAAAGGGATACCTGTCTCTATAACTATTAGAATTTAAGGTCTTTGAAGGATTTGTTCCACAGAGATTTCATTATTTTTCTCTTATTACCTCACAGTAAATTAAAACCCCAAAATCCTAAGCCCAGAAAAAAAACCCCACTTCTTACCTTTCTGGTATCATCATCTCTCTCAGGCAATTTATAATAGGTTGTCACTTATAGAGATGGAATCAGAAAAGTTATTTGCTAATCTAAAGATGTGTTGCTGATTTCTTTAATTGTAAAAAGCAGTATATACTACCTTATTTTTTTTCCTGTAGATTTTAAAATCAGCATTTTTAAGCAATGCAGGAAGACAACACTACTAATTAATATGTATCCATGTTGCATGACCTTTCCACAAATAAAATATGCGCCTTCTAAAATTTTCTTTCCAATTCCTTCCCTCCCTTAAAATTCTGTGACAACCTATCACTAACCTATAACATTCTCTTAAACTAAAACCGGAAGAAGTTCTTCAATCTGCTGTTCATGGCTAACAATGCAGTACAGGATTGCTTCAGAGAATTCTCTGAACTCTTCTCAAAGTAGTATGGAAATTCCCCAGGGAGCACCACACACTGCATTTATACCCTAAAGCATCAAGAATCTATGTATGAAAGCTCTTAAGTAGTTCAAAATCTTCATTACATCCTAGATGATTTAACTTCACACTTGCTACAAGTGTAAAGATATTGTCATGATTAGCAGTATTGTAGATTACTCTGAAAGAATTAAATATTTCAACTGGCCACTCAAGAGATAGTTTTTTCACTTGTAGTCTAAGTTGACATCAAACATCTTAGCACCTCAGCCAATAGTGAACCCCAGTGTGGCACAGCGAATGTGTTACACCAAATTCTGCTAAATACACAGATTATCTCCTTAATTAATAAAGTAAAAAGGCGATCATTTTCCTGTAGATTGCTCTGTAGACAGAAAACAGCAAAGGTACAAGCAGGAAAAGTATTATCTTGATCTGCTTACAAAAGCAGAAGGCATTACTGTCACTTTTACTGCATTTAATACTTATTTTTAGAACACGCTTCCTCGCTCTCCTGTTAAATCATAAAACTGCTTTCAAAAGGCAGTGGAAATTAAGGGAGGAAAAAATAATAAATTATGAGATTATGACTCAAACATTTTATTACTGAGTCTGGGCAATTCATTTCAAGTTACTTCTACGCATATGCAATGGTACATCTTATTGAAATTCTAACCTGAAGACTGCTTTTACAATTACAGTTTTTTCTTTCAAAGATTCACAAAAATATAGTTTGATCCTCCCCAGTACAACTGAGGTTTGATCTTCAATTATTTAATATTTTTCAATAGTCTCAGTTCTTTTCCTTAAAGAATTTGCCTTCCCTGTTTTTAAGCTTAGTTGATCTGCCTAATGATGGAATTAATAAAAGCAGGACATAAATCTAGTCATGAAAACCTGTTTCTTAATCTATTCAAAGCACTTGGAAACAAAGAACAACATTTATGGTGGTGATAAAATATTTCAGATTGTGCTAAAACACAAACAGTATCATTGCCCCTTGAATATTTTAAAGGGATTAATTTTTCCCCATAGAGCATTGCAGCTTCTGGTATCAGTACAGCTTCTATAGAGAACAAATGCGGGAGCAACTTGAGCGTGTTTAGAAATTTTGGACACAGTTTATCTTGAAGGTGAACCTCAGATTTCCCAAAAATCTCGGAAAGTTACTGAAGGTTTTGCTTGCCTTGTTGGGTGAAACCCTCAGCTACAGCTATCAGAGTTCTAGGAATAAACATGCAGTAACCTTTCCATCCATTGCTGTCATCTTAAACCACAGAGTTTATGCTCACACTAACAGAAGTGGCATTTGAACATCAAAATCTGTCAAAGTTGTGGCCACCACAGCTCACCTCAGTCATAAATTATGTTCTGCATTTACAAACAACAAACGGAAAGCAGCTTCCAACTGTGAAGCCTAGTCTCAGGAGCTGTCAGTAGCAAAAGACGCTGAAAAAGTCACTACAAGAGGAGAGTTGCTTCTTTAGAAAGACACCTACTGGATTGCTTGCTTAAGGGCAAAGGTCAGAGTTCAAATAAACTCAGAATTACTACTGTGCCTTCATTTCTTAAGACTTATATCTTGTAGACTGTAAGGCCTGAGCTCAGGGTCTCCTCATCCAGGGATCTAAATAAATTAGATGGAAATTCTTGCTAAAAGGCTTACCTGACTAATCTCCCAGGCAGTATAAGGGCCTTCCCATTCACGTGTATTGCAAGCAATTGCAGATGCTCATTAATAGAAGATATTTCTCTTTGCCTGTTGTTAGAGAAAGAACTGGATATCCACACTGAGTGTGCCAGAATTTGAGTCAAAATGAATCAGTCAGCTCAAGTCTGCAAACATCAGTTATCCCAAATCTGAGCTTCTCCTTCAGCAGCAAAGTGTAAAATTCCTTGACCCTAATTGTCAGCCAGACAAGGCTAGAGCTGCAAGGCAACCTAAGCCATGTTTTAATACAGTTTCAGAATTGTCTTTAAGTGAACAATTTTGCATCTTGTCAAGCCTCTAAAGGGGACAACACCAGAAAATCTGACATCCAGAACATCACTCCCCTGCTCTTATACATTGCTTTGGTTAATATGTTAGACTTGAGCCCTTTTTCCAAGGAAAACAACTTCTATCTTTAAATTTACCAAAATTTATGATTTAGCATATTGAAGACTGCAAATTAGCTTGAGGGCAGGAAACACTCTGTTGAAGTTTTGCAAATAAGCCATTCTAAATCAACAAACTGAACAGGCAAAAAATGGTGGGAAAGATTCAACATTTCAAACCACATGCCCTATTCAGAACTTTTTTATTCTGCAATAAATAAGCTTAATTAGGCCAGTGTCATTACTGAAGTCTGACAGCTTCTTTTCTAGTCAGTGTAAAGAACCATCTTGTTTTTTGTATACCTTTTGAGACACTAAAGTGTTTTAGCTAAAGCAGCAACTCTAAATATTAATGGAATACATGGACACAACTTAAGCCTTTGAAACCACTTATCCTTTTCTCACACCCAACAACCTCTTAATGCAGTAGAGTTAAAAAAAAAACAATTGAAAAAGCATGATGTTCACACCAGGCATTCTGTGAGATTTCACAGAATCACACCTGCATATGTAAGGTAATTTATGCTGTTACTCTCTGTATTCAGATCTATTCAGTGATGGTTCATTCTACCTCCCTCCAAAGCACAACCTTAGAGCGGCAGTGGTGGGGTGAGTGCCTTGTTTACATGGGCTGAGAACTGCCAAAACATCGTTCCCCAAAAGAGCAGCGCTCAGCGAACACTTGGATGCAGTCATGAGGGGCAGCCAGCTTTACTTCCAGATGTTTACTGCCAACAGCTTGGGCTTACAGAAAAGAAACCAAACAACCAAAAGCCCCCTAAAAAAACAACCACCCATTGCATTGATACTAAATCAACTTGGAAGTCCCATGGCTATGTTGTTCAAAAAAGGATTTGTTTTACAGTCCTGTATCAGTCACAAAATTTTCTGCATTATCTCTCAACATACCAGAACAGGTAGTTTCCTAACCTATTTCTAAAAACAGGTAGTTTTGTGAAGATTAGAATTGAAGAAAATATTCCCTTTCAAGCTCCATTCATACACCCATCTAAATATTTAGCTAAGAACAATTAAACAGGTATCAGGAGTTTAAATAGCTTTGCTATAGCTATGAGAGGAAACTAATTTCATATTTACACGGGGGAAATGCATTCCTTGCAGAACAATGGTTTTAGTACAGTGCAAATTTTCTTACCTGCAAATCCCACAGAATACGCCATGTTCAGCCCATGTAGAATTTCCAGAGGGAAAGAGTATTTGTTGGATGTTAGTACAGCAAGTAACCTCACTGCCCCAGCTAATCTGTGGACATCCTCTCCTTTCTAATCCGCAGAAACCTAACCTTAGAACTACTCATTACCAGGGAGAGGAGAACAAATCCCCTTAACCCTTTTCTTGCATAAAAAAACTACTTTACATTGTCTCTCACCTAAATAGTTTCTTATTCTCATCAACTTTCCCAGGCAATAGGGTGCTCATCACTTAGGGTTTGTCTGCAGCCAGTGTTGATCTTCTGTGGCTGGTTACAGGATTTCTACTGCAGCACAGGAAACACCCGTCTCTCCATTAAAGAAAAAAAAAAAAAAAAACAGAAAAAAAAGTAATTACCGTGAAGCAATTCAGCTGGAAAAGTCCTGCAGGTTAACTCAATTCTTTGTTAGTTACAGCAATACACAAATCAAAGCTGGTCTGTACTGATTTCCTAAAGCATCACAGCCCAGATCAGCTGTAAAGTGGAATCTGTGTCAGAAGCACATTTAATCCTGGGATTCTCTTCAGCTAATAACTGAGCTATATATCAGAAGAACCAAAAATAATCCAGCCCAGACTGTCTGCTTCCCTAATTCAGCCAAGCTAAATTAATATGT